CCACATACGTTGTTAGCCCCCTTTTACCCTGTTCTTCAGTGGTCAGGACCCCCATGGACCCTCAGCAGGTATTATTTGGATGGTGGATCATTCTCAGCACTGTAGTTACACTCATGTGGTGGTGGTGTGTTAGTGTGTGTTGTGCTGGTCTGAGTGGATCAGACATAGCAGTGCTGCTGAAGTTTTTAAACACCTTAGTGCCACTGCTGGACTAAGAATATTCCACCAACCAAAAATATCCAGCCAACAGCGTCCTGTGGGCAGCATCCTGTGACCACTGATGAAGGACTAGAGAATGACCAACACAAACTGTGCAGCAGCAGATGAGCTATCGTCTATGACTTCACATCAAGGTGGACTGACAAGGTAGGAGTGTCTAATAGAGTGGACAGTGAGTGGACACAGTGTTTAAAAACTCCAGCAGCACTGCTGTGTCTGATCCACTCGTACCAGCACAACACACACTAACACACCACCACCACTGCAGTGCTGAGAATGATCCACCACCCAAATAATACCTGCTGTGTGAGGGTCCATGGGGGTCCTGACCACTGAAGAACAGGGTAAAAGGGGGCTAAGAAAGTATGCAGAGAAACACATGGACTACAGTCTGTAATTGTAGAACTACAAAGTGCACCTATATAGTAAGTGGAGCTGATAAAATGGACAATGAGCATAGAAACAAGGACGTGGTCATGTTATGCCTGATAGGTGTAAATCTGTAATTACTTTAATCATGAAAAGCAGAAAAGGCAACTAACCTCTAAAACAGAGCTTAAGAGGTATATACAACAAGAAGCGTGGAAAAATATTCCTGTGGATTTCCTGTGGTCTCCTAAAAAGGATGCTGTAAACTTAACTGACACACTATATACTGAAAATGCTTCCTGCTTTTTTCCTAATGTTAAAAAATAATAACACATAATTAATGGATATTTTGACTGGAAATCAAATACATGAAAGGGTAGTGTCTTTTGCACAGTACTATACTTGCTTGTTCAAGGATGGAGAGATGTCCTTATTTTCATTCGAGATGATAGGATGAGGAGGAAAAAAGAGAAGCCAACATGGATTTTCTTGCAGCTGCCTTGTTTCCACGCCACCACCCACCCTTAGTCTGGTTTCTTAACAACACTCATCATGAGAACGTGCCGCTATATGCTGAATCTCTTTCTTCCTTTTTTTTTCTCTTTATCAGAAAGAGCTCAGAGGAATCATGTCTCTCTGTGGGTTCCTGTCCACGTTCTCCCCTCTCACGTCTTATCTTTTATCTTTACATAAAGATCAATGAAGCATGGTTATATGGCTAGAGAGATCTCCTAATGACACGATTAGACAGCAGAATGAACACAAACGTGGAGGCAGGTGACTTCCTGCTGCTCCCTAACTGCATTCTCCCCGAGCCGTGGCGGTTGAGCAGCATGCTCACAAGTGATTGTGAGGGGCATTGTCTGGTTGGTCACTAAAAGTTGGTGAAGCAGTGTGTGAGAGGTATAAGTGGCTTTGATGTGCCATTGAGAGAAGACTAGGGGTCACGTCAGAGGTGCCGCACAGTAAATATAGGCTGTGGCGTTTGACCTATATTGAAAACATGATAGTGAAAGTAGGTCATTGATGCAGTAAATGCTTCTTTTTCCACTCAGCTTTATTGTGAGTGTTAGGAGGAAAAAAGAAGATTCTATTTTGCCGAGTACCTGCACTCCCACCAGAACTGCTCATCAGAATATGCTTCTCTGCTGTCTCATAGCAACCTAAAAATAGAAGTGTCCCTATTAGCCTGTATATGGCAGCAATGGCTGGCGCAGGTTATGGCCACATAATTACATAAGCACACTGAAAAGCATGCGGATGCCTTCGTCTTCATGCTTATAGCAACCTCAATAAAACTCTGTACCTTTGAAAATATTGTTCAGTGAGCAACACTCTGCAGTGTTTGGAAAACACCTGTTGAAGGCTGTTTAGGCAGTTAAGTGAGTCCTGCCTGTGTGAAGGCAGAAAACTCACATCATGGCTTTATGTTTGCTTTCAAGACACACTAGAAGATGCTGCCTGCTGCCTGAGTGAGTCCAGGTCCAGGTCACTGAGTCACGTATACATCCTTTTAGGTCGTCTTCACTAACAAGAGAGAGTGCATTCGCTCCAGCCTGGCTCCAAGCAACCAGCCTTATGGGACTCTTTTGCAGGAACATTGAAATAAGATGCATAGTGCATGATGTTCAGATGGTCTGTCTATGGTTCAGGCCTTTGCACAGCAATATCAAGAGCCCAAATTCAGCTCAAGCCTGGAAGATTCATTGGTTAAAGTGTACAGAATAAAATTTGCAACATTGACTCTTAAGGCTGGTTTTCCAGACAGGGAATATGTAGCACATTTTTCTTTCAGTGGAACATCTCTATTCAAAATGCTGTGTAGTTTAGGCCCAGGCCAAATCCCTTTCCAGGGAATTGGCACTTAGTAAAATCATTTGTGTCCAAGTGGACTTGGTTAATTCCACTGATTTTTCACTGACATTTTTTGCTATACTTTAAACAGTGAGATGTAAACAAAGTTAATCAGAGTGGTCTGATGTGAAACAGTGCATTGTACACTCTAAAAATTAAATGTGCCATTCAATGGATAGTTCTTCGGAGAACATTTTGAGAGCAATTTGAAAAATTGAACTTTTCAAAGTTTAATAAACCCTCACATAATGTAAAGATTCTGAGAAGAAGAACCCTGAAATTGGTATAGAACTTTTACATTTTGTAAAGGTTCTTCACACTCACAAATCTATTTTTCAAATAATTCTGTTTGGGAACCAAAAGTGGTTCTTCTATGGTATCACTCAAAGCACGCTTTGTGGAACTTTTTTTTTTTTTAAGATTTTATTTACTATTCAAAATGCTAAATGAACATACATCATACATGAGTTTTTATATGTAATGCCAATAATAATAAAATAGTGGTACATCTAAAAAAAAAATGTTTTTTCATTGTTGTTTTGCTACTATTTTGCCTTCAAAATAGTAGATGAATGGATTTAAAATAAAGGTACTGTGCAGGTACATTTTTTATTCATCAAGGTGCAAACACTGTAAACGTGCCCTCAAAGGTACAACAGTGGTTTTGAGGTCCAGTTGTGTATCTTAAATAAGGTTTTCCCAGTGGAAAAGAACATATTTGTACCTTTTCATAACCTAATGTTTTAGGAACAATAAAACAATAAAAATAAATGCCTGGAGACGAGACGGGGTGTGTGGAGTCAATGTAACTTAGAAAACATAATTTCAATGGATTATAGTACAATTACATTCCCTAGCTAAAGGTATTGAGATGTATCCTTGAGGGTCCCACCCCAGTGACAAGAAAGGTACTGCCCCAGTTACAGTTTCATACATTTATTTCTGAGAGTGCACTGTGAACAATTCTGACTCAGTAAGTTTCTCTAGAACTGAGCATTTTACACCGAATCACTCTGAATGACTTTGTTTACATCTTAACCACTTGGTTTGGATAAAAAACAGCTGAATTCCATCTTTAATGAACCACTGTACACTCTCAGAAAAAAAAGCTACTAAACTGTCACTGAGATGGTACCCCTAAAGTCACTGGGGTGGTACCCTCAAGGGAATGTCTTTCGTACCTTTAGTTAGAAAACCTAATTGTACCACTTTCCATTGCAATGATATATTTTTAAGTTGTATTGACTCCATTCAGGGTGTCTTGACTCCAGGCTTTATTGTTCTGTTTTAAAACATTACACTCTACTACATTCTATTATTGTTACAATGTCAGGCCTGTAAAAATACAAGGATACTTTTGGTGCTATATAGAACCCTTTTCAAAAGAGCCAGAAACAACACATTCTCCATCAATCTGTAGAGCCATTTCACCATGCAAAGAACCATTTAAACAGGAAATGGTTCTCAAAGGTACAACAGTGTTTTTAAGGTCCAGTTGTGAACCCTAAACAGGTTTTTCACAGGTGAAAGGTACATATTTGTACCTTTTCACAACATAATGTTTTAAAACAGAACAATCAAATAAAAAGCCTGGAGGTGAGATGGGGTGTGTGGAGTCAATACAACTTAGAAAATATCATTTCAGTGGATTACGGTACAATTATGTTCCCTGTCTAAAGGTACTAAAGACGCACCCTTGAGGGTATCACCCCAGTGACAGGAGGGGCACTGCCCCAGTGACAGATTAATACCTTTATATCTGAGAGTGTAGGTTAGGAAAAGGTACAAATATGCACCTTTCCCCTGAGAAACATGTTTTTAAGATACAGAGTTGGACCTTAAAACCATTTGTACCTTTAATGGGAAAATTAACATTGTTTGTACTTTGATAAAAAAAATTACCTGCACAGAACCTTTTTCCTGACAGTAAAGCACTCTCTGATACCACAAAACACTATGATTAATGTGAACACTGTTAGAGCTAATTCAGCTCTGGTTGGACACAAACAAGCACAGACGATTCAACCCTGATATCACTGATACTGCTGAACACTCTCATCATAACATAATGGACCAACATTAACGTGGCTAAATTCAAGCTGATGGCAGGGCTACAAAATAACGTCAGATGTCAATAAACTGGGAAAAACTTTTAATTCAAGTGTCAACAGAAAAATATTTTTGTTTGTTTGTGCTCTCGTCATACAAAAAAAAACAGAGGCTCTCAGCAGACTCGATTTATTTTTGTAGATTCTGACGTCAATCAGATGCACGTTCCATTCACCGAGAAAAAAAAAAGAAAGAAAGGCAGAGAGAGAAAGAGAGAGAGCGCGCGAGAGGGAAGTTATTTATAACCTCAGCGTCTCGGTGTGATTCTTGAGTGCGCAAAGAGGAATGTGAGCGACTGGACTGATCTCCAGCGCGGCGCTGCTGGTGCGACATGGTGCTTCCATGCAGCTAAAATAGGACAGCTCTACCGGGGCCGTGCGCAACGACCGCGGGCTCTGCGAGGATGAACACACTCCCTCACAGTTTCTGAAGAACACAGGAGAGCATTCAGAGACGCGGCGTTTGGATTCATTCTGACATGACAAAGCCCTCTCCACACCAGGTAAGGCAGCTCCGCACCATCCACACGATGAAGTCGCGCACGGAGACACACTTGGCTGTTTCTCACGGCGCTTCGACTTTTTCCCCAACACGTTTCTTATATGAAGCGATCGTTCTCTGTGCGCGCGCTGTGTGCCTTCCACAGACTCGCGTCTTTAGAAATGTAGTCTTTTGGTGAACTTCATGATTGGTGGTCGAAACGCAGTTATGTGTGAACTAAAAGCAGACAGAAGAAACTGTAATGGTGTTTAAACCCTACTGAAAAAGCAGCATACGGGTCTTAGGTGGTTTAGCTGGCCACCCAACATGGTTTTGCTGGTTGACCAGCATCCGAAACACAACATATGCTGGTTTTGGTGGTGACCAGCGTAACAGCTTCCATTGCTGCTGACCGTTATACCAGCATCCAGAATTCAGCATATTGTTGCTGTTGGGACCTCGTCTCTCCATTTTTGGAGAGAAAATCACCATCAAAATTAATGGTGAATGGACCAGCAGAATAAATCATTTCTCCATTAACTTCCATTAAAGTTAAAAACGTTTTTTTCTTCTTCTGTAAAGTTGCGAGGTTTTGTTCCAACAGTGACGACATGCCGGCCTTGCTGGTGACCGGCTATGCTGGTCTAAGCTGTTTTTTCTAGCAGGGAAGTAATGCGACTCTGTCAGAGAAATGAAGAGGAGTGAAGGAACAGGAAAGAAAGCTGTGCTGCCATTATGGAGCGCGCTTCGTCCACTTTGAACGCGCGGCGATCAGCACCGCGGACAGCGACACGCTCTCCTATCACACCACTGACACACTGTACGAGAGAAACACATTTACTCACACAAATCTGTTCTTTTTGTCCGTTCTTATCACTTTGTCACCTGCAATTATATTTTCATTCCTTGAATGCGCTCAGAAAATAAGCCTTTAGAGGCATTACATGCTTCAGACGTCTGGTTCCTATCACCACCACTGTGATCAGTACCGACTCGTTAAGTTTACCTAGAACGGAGTATTTCACATCAAACCGTTCTGAACGACTTTGCTTACATCTTAACCATTTCATTATGCTAATATGCTAATTCTATGCTGTGCATTTAAATACAGTGGTAAAGTTAATGTACAGCGAGTGAATGAATCCATAAAAGAAGCAATATTGTACGTCAAATACATATTTTAATGATATGTGATACACATTTCAGCCTATTATACAGGTTAATGTATGTAACATCATTTGTAATACACATAAGCATAGCTGATATTGGGCGTCAAATACCAAAGACAATAGAAAATCAATTAGGCTATTCGCCTATAAGCACAGATAAGCAGCGATTCAGAAGCCCAAAGAAGGTAATAACATCGTCTGTTTTCAGTGTGAATGTACCTGGCTTGTTTACTCTCTTATTTAAAGTCAGGCGTTTCAATCAGCTTCTTCCACACCTGAGCTGTCTGACAAGGCAATGTTCTTTCACTTAACAAGTCATTTCTGCGCATTCAGGCTGCCACCTGGTGGTCCTTTAAGAGCACAAGCTGATGTTTGCCACATTTGCAGATTCTTAATGTCTTATTGTCATAGGAGATATCAGTAGCCCATTTAGCCCAGACTCTTTTAAAAGCAATGCCACAGGAGACGCAGTTTTAATAAACATTTTTGTAAATGAGATATGAGAGCTAGAAGAACCTTTTTCAAAGTTTAACCCCTTAAAATCCCAGACTTATTACATAATAAGGCTTATTATTCTGTAACTACACGGAATGCAACGCAAACTAGTTATTCTTAGGTTATACAAGTGCGTACTAAACCTTTGGACCTGCTGTTGGGTGCTGGCCTTTTGAGGGGTTAAAGAACATCCAAATAAAATAAATGTTCTAGGAAGAACCTCTGAACACAACCTTTACATTATGTGAGGATTTATTAAACCTTTGAGAGGCTCTTCACACCATTTTTTTTTTCAACTCTATGGCACTGCTCAAAAATCCCTTTGAGGCGTCTTTTTATAAATATTATTTTATTTTATTTTCAACAACCCTCTGTAATCAGCTAAATCTAAGATGATGAAGCGTGTGATGGATTTTGGGAAATTTAAAGCAATGGTGTTGTGAAAAATCTAATTTACACAGGGCTTCCACTTACCCCACATGAAGTCAATCAGCCAAGACATGTTTGCTGTCCAAATTCTTCTTCTTTATGTTTAGCACTGGAGCTATGAGGCTAACATTGCTAACAAATACTAAAAGAAAATAGACACCCAAATATTTTCTGTTAATACATCCCCAAATCTTCTCTCAACTGACTATGACTACATCCAGGTCTTTATTAATGTCACACAGACTTGATGTGTTCTAGGACAAAGTAAAAATAACAATGTTTTAACGTCAAAAAGTAATTCATCTGTTTGCCTTGAAATTTTGAGTTTCTAATAAAAAATTAACAGAACAACAATCTGTGATTTACATTCTGTTAACTAATTATTTAAAGTTCAGTGAACTCAAAATTTTAGGCCAACCAGATTACTTCCTTTTTCAGATTATGTTCTTCATTTTTGTCACTTCTTTTTATAAATAACTGTACATCTTACTTTTTGAAATGAAGATATATATTTATAAAAAGAAACAACAGAAATTTTGAATGTAGTCAGGTGTCCATGTGCCTGTATGACATACACACACTCACAGGGGAGTCGGATTCCGTGAGGGAGTTCAACATCTGTTGTCTAAAATGGATGCCCACTGCGTTCAGCTACATGATGTAGTTCATTTTCATAGTTCCTAGGCATAATGTGTCTTAAACCACACTGACAAGCCTGTACGACCATAATGCAAACCTAAATGCCATTTGAAAGGGTGGAGAGAATGATGTATTTATGTAAAAGATTTGGGTGACTATTGACTTGTGTTTAATTGCACTTGACTATTGATTAATGTTTGTTAGCAACATTAGCCTTGTAGCTCCAGCGCTAAACTAAAGAACCAAAATTTGGACACCAAACATGTCTAGACCGATTGATGACATCTAGGGTAAGTTGAAAATTGTATACCAATCCTTTAAGTAGCCATCTGTGATTGCCTTGCAGGACTGAGGCTGAATTGTGGCCAGTCTGGGGCGATGGCTGATATCCTGGAGCTGCGGACGGATGGGAACTCCTTGCTGAAGGCAGTTTGGCTCCGGCGTCTACGACTCACCAGGCTCCTGCTAGAAGGGGGAGCTTACATAAATGAGAGTAATGACCGTGGGGAGACACCCCTCATGGTGGCCTGTATGTCCAAACACTCTGACCAACAGAGTGTCAGCAAAGCCAAGCTGGTCAAGTACCTTCTGGACAATAAGGCCGACCCCAACATTCAGGACAAGGCAGGCAGGACAGCGCTCATGCATGCCTGTAGTCAAAGGGCCGGACACGAGGTGGTGTCTCTACTCCTGACCAATGGGGCAGATCCCAGCCTAGAGGACCGCAGTGGTTCATCTGCCTTGGTCTATGCTGTCAATGCGGATGACAAAGAAACCCTCAAAGTGCTCCTGGATGCCTGTAAAGCTAAGGGCAAGGAAGTCATTATTATCACCACAGACAAGTCACCCTCCGGCACCAAAACCACCAAACAGTACCTGAATGTTCCACCCTCCCCAGAACTGGACGAAAGATGCTCCCCTGTCCTATGTGCCTCACCTTCAGACATCAACCTTCACACCTCTCCAATCCCCAGCAAAGAAGAGGAAACAGAGGAAAAAGACACTGTCTTTAATTTTCAAAGCAAGTGGAAGTCATCCTCCAGCACAGCGTCCAAGCTTCCCAATGGGCCTACTTCTCCTACACGGAAACCCGTGAACCCTAAGCGAGCTCGCCTCCCACAGTTGAAGCGCCTGCAGTCCGAGCCCTGGGGGCTGATTGCACCGTCTGTGCTGGCTGCCACCCAAGAGGAGAGTAAGAGAGCCAACAGTGATGAGGATGTCGTCACTGGTGTCAATGGACTGACCCTGTCCAAGAGAGCCCCTCTGTCTCGGCACAACAGTGTGGATGGTAAAGAGATCCTGTTCCCCTTGGTGGCTGATCAGTCTACCAAAATCTCTTCTACTTCATCCCTCCCTCCATCTTCCAAGGTCTCTTATGATAGATCTCTAGGACAACATCAGCCACTGGCACGGCGTAGCACAGTTCCAACCGAGCAAGAGGGTTCTGTGGGAACCACTGGGCCAATTGGCCTCAGAGATACAGTGCACCGGAGGAGACTAGGAAATGACCAGTATGACTCAGACTCCCAGCTGTACTCAGAGTCTGGAATGCTGGACTCCCCCAAGATCCCCCTGGAGAGGAGAAAGCTCAACACTTCACCGCTGGCTATGCTTACAGGCTCACGTGAGTCCCTGGATAGCAACGCCAGCACTTCCTCTCCAAGCACAGCCAGACGGCGAGCACCGGGGCTACTGGAGCGGCGTGGGTCAGGAACTCTGCTGCTGGACTACATCTCCCACACTCGCCCTGGCCACCTGCCCCCCCTCAACGTCAACCCTAACCCTCCTATCCCTGACATAGGTGCCAGCAGCAAGCCCTCATCCCCACTCGCGGCAGGATTTCGTTCCATAGCTCCTGTAGCACCAAACTCACCAAAAAGAGGCAATCTCAGGATGAAGAAGAAACTGGTCAGAAGGCACTCTATGCAAGTGGAGCAGATGAAGCAACTTTCAGACTTCGAGGAGCTCAGCCATCAGTGATGGGAATCAGCACATGCAGATGTAGCAACTCCCACGTCAAGAAAAGCAAGTCAGTGATCAGACATGTGGAAATAGTACCCATAATTGTGTTCAGAAGTAGTTACCATTGATTGTAGCCATTACGTTCAAGCATAGAGACCCTCCATGCACAAAGGAGAGTCTGATGTGCCAGTCGTAATTTACCACTGAATTAGGAAAAGAAAAGGGAAGAAATGTTGTAATCTCATTCAACAATGTAACAAGTTCAATACACACAAGTTTAATACTCACATTAAAATATTTCAGACAATGTCTTGATAATATTAGCAGAGACATTCCATGTATGCAGTTTTGCACATTCATGTTGTGGCTGCGGGAACAAAACCTTGTCTCTCCATTTTTGTCATTTAAAAATTTTTCACAGAATTCGGAAATGCCAGCTGTCCTTTACAGTGCATTCAAATCACTTCATAATGCATTCAAATCACTTTACAATGCATTTAAATGTGTTCAACCACAAATACCAATTCTTCAACAACAAAGTAGTTTTCAATTTGCAGTTTGCCGAAAACACTGAATCGGTCTTTTAGAGAATGGGTGAGATTATACACATGCTCACAGTGATTGAATCCGACAGCTCAACTATTGCTGCTTCTGGGAGAAAACTCTTCGCCTGTAAACAAAAGCAGAGACGGAATCGTCTGTCAAGACTTCAAAGTCTAGACGACTCTGTGTGAGACTTATTAAAGGCAGCAGAGGAGGGCAATTGTGAAAGTAGACTGTCAGACACAGCAGAGAGGTCACCACATAACGCCCTTTAAAGCAGAGAATCCTGTTGGCTCCTAGTGACAAAGCTGCAAGTTCTGAGAACAAATTAAACTGAAAATAGTAGAACAAATTGCTTCTGACCACTAGCATCACTATTGCGCAGGCATGTGGTAAAGAAAGACATTCATTATAAATATGTGCAAAGTGTCGTCATTTGGACTAGACCATGATGAGAAATTGACCATCATTGAGATAACAATCGCTTATTCCGTCTGTCTTGGAAGTGACAAAAATCAAGCATTGGGTGCAATAATACATGCAACATCATGACTTACTCCTTAATGCAAGGATGGCTCGTCCACAAAGTCGGTAAATTGACTTGTGGAACATTTTGTCTTCACAAATATAGTATGTTGTTCTATTTCATAAGGAGTTCCATAACTCTAGTGTGAAAAATTGAATGTTGTAGCTAATTAGTATATAGTGCCTTTGGAGGAGGGGAAAAATCTTTCTGCCCCACAGTGGCTCCCAAGTTACTGGAGCTATGAAACACAATCCTAGAGTGACTTTGCTGAACATAAAAGACATATATAGTATAGGAGGCCATAGTATATTTGTTATATGATCCAAGTCTGTAGCGGAACATGCCATTTGATGCCAATGATCACTGTATAGTAGTGGCTCTCAAGGCCTGTGTTGGGGGACTCCTACAGCAGCGTTTTTCCTGCTCTTCAATCACACCTGATTCTACTCATCAGCTAATTATCAAGCCCTTCACAAGCTCAATCAGGTGTGTTAAAGCAGCAAGAAGACAAAGTTGCATAGTCAAGAGGTCCCGCAGGACTGGTGCTGAGAACCACTTCTGTACAGAATGTCAGTGTAGATTTAATCCCTTTTGTCAGCCAACGTAATACGATAGAACAGATGTGCCCATGTAACTTTTTTGTGCAATTGCAAAGTGCTTTAGTTCACTTGCTGCTATAATGTCTCGTAGCTGCTCCACTGACTTAGTTCCTGAGTTGTTTTAGGGCTGATATTGAAATAAATGTTGTGTATTGTGAGAGTTAGCTGGCTAACTCTTTGTGTGATGAAAATACTCTAAAGTTTTGAAAAATATGGATCGAACAAGCAATCGAAAAAGCAATCAGATCAGTGCTCCTCAATTTCCGAGTACAATTCAGCCTATTTATTCTCACGCTGCTGTTCAAAAGATTGGAATCAATGTCTTTAACAATACAAATTCAATTTGGTTTCTAATAAACATCTGCAGTCAAATGCATAGGTTTGTGCACCCTTGGTCATAGAAAATGTTTTGCTGAAGTGAAAATAAGTTAACACATCCTCTATAGAGATCACATGTTTTCATTTTAATGCACAATTACTGTTTATTGCTGAACTTAAAAGAAAAACACAAAGTGTGACCTGTGCAGATGTTATGGCACATTTTATTATTTATGTCTTACCCAGCAAATAAATAGAAACTGTACACTACAATTTGCAGAAAAATGCCATATTTAAATTTATTGTCTCTAGAGGGTGTCTTATTTTCACTTAGAAAGTCAACAAAATGTAATTTGATCAGGGTGTTCTAACATTTGCACACAACTGTAATGTGAGGCTGTGAAAAATGTTAGCTGTATGTAATAAATAATAATAAGTTGTAGATGACTCTATAATGACTGAGAAAGCTGTATAACATTAAGTTGTATTAAAATATTATTAAGTTTATTATGAAGTTATAACAAAAATGTCTCGTATTTGCAAAAATGCCTCATAGTGATCAAATCTAGGGTGAATAACTTAACAAGAATTAAATTCTAAAGAAATAATTACACTACAGAATTTAAATATTCACTATTAGCAAAATAGGTTCTATATAGTACCAAAAAATGTTCTAAGATTTGTAACAATAGTGGAACACTTTTTTTAGAAGTTTCTTTAAAGAACCATATACAGCAGATTCTCCACAATGGAGAAGAACCATTTAACCATGCTAAGAGCCATTTAAGCATTCAAATGCTTCTTTGAGTTGTGATGGTTCTAGATATAACCATATCCTTTGTGAAAGAACCTTTAAATTAACACTTTTTTAAGTTGTATATTTACTAAAAATTATTGAAATATTTAATAAAATAAATAAAAATAGCTTTTGGTGTCTACCTTACAACGTATAAATCCATGTTGTATATGATATTACAGTATATAAAGTAACCCAAAATATTAGTGTAACAAGTGATTCCAAACTTTTGAATGGTAGTGTACATTTATTACTATCATCAAAAAAAGTTTCCAAAATTATCAAAATGAACTGAGTTAATCTTGCTTTAAAGAGTTTTATCTTTGTAAAGTTTAGATCTGGATTTGGGGTTTTAAATGTGAAAAAAAAATTGAGATTTATCACAAAAAAAGAGATTTACTTATATAGATCCTTTGAAGCCTATATGGGTTCAAATTAGAGAGTATATGGCCACTGATGATGTGTTACAGATAACAGATGACTGTAAACATTTGCATTCCCAACTCCCAGCTCTGAAAGGCGTTGCTGTTCACAGAGAAATGTAACACTTAACTTTAGTTCATGTTAGTTATTAAGTCTATGTGAGCACATGGATACAAACACGGTTACCACATACATGAAACTGTGAGACATACCATTGGTTGTGAGGCCGATGTTTACATTGTATGATGCATAGTATTTTTGTATGTAGTACTCTGTATATTTTGAATAAATGTCTGCAACATTTTTTTCTTTGTCACTTTTTTCTGAATCCAAATACAACAAAAAGCACCCTGTTTGACAGAAAAGTCAAATGCAGTAGCTGTAGCTGTCAGTGGTGTACAATAAAGCGGTGAATTAGACATGGATTAAAATGCTAATTGTTTTTAAGAATAAAAACTTGTACATTTACAGCATAGATTGAAATGTAGTACACTAGATGCCAAAAACATAAACCGATGGTTTGTTAATAATTTTTAAAATAATTCAGATTACGTAATTTCATTTATAATTCAAAGTTTTGGGCGCTATGGTCATAATGCATAATAATGTATTACATTTTATGTATTATGTTGTAATCATGTAAGTTATGATATAAATTAGATCATTTATAATCCACTCTTGTCACAAGATTTGGTGCTTTTTTCAACTATGAGACATTTTGGATATTAATTTTTAACTTCATTTTAAATGTTTTACAGTTAATATCATAAAACATTTCTTCGTTTTACAGCTTTCTACAAATTGTTTACAACATATATGGTATTACAATAAATTTTAGATTTATCTGCAACACAATTGGTTTTATATTACAACTCTATTTCCAAAAAAGTTGGGACGCCGTGCAAAATGTAAATTAAAAACAAAATGCTGACATGCAAATCATTTAAACAGGGTGATTCACAAAGTTTCACCCAGTTTCAAAATTATTTATTTCACTTGTAAATCATTACAGAACAATGCAGTAAGTTGTAAATGGTTTAGGTGGCATAAAGTTTATTATATTACTTTACAAGTGCTCAATATGAACCTCCTCCAGCTGTACGGACAACATCAGCATGATAGGAAAATTCATCCCATACTCGATTGAGCATGTTGGGTGTCACTGTACTCACGGCTTTTTCAATGTAATTTCGGAGATCGTCCAGTGTCGTGGAACCAATGACGAATGCTCTGAGCTGTTCGAGGTTCACTGCCAACAAAAATCACAACGCACAGTTATGACGGATTCACTTTTATTGAAGTGGAGAACACAACACGCTTTCTGCTCAGGGGTTGCCACCTCCTTGCAGACTGGCAACAGGTCAGTAACATGATTAGGTATAAAAAGAGTATCCCAGAGAGGCTGAGTCTTTCAGAAGTAAAGATGGGGAGGAGTTCACCACTCTGAAAGACTGTGTGGGCAAACAATTCAAGAATAACATTTCTCAACATAAAATAGCAAAGAACGTCTGCTTTTCATCATCTACAGTACACAATATCATTAACAGATTCAGAGAATCTGGAGAAATCTCTGTATGTAAGGGACAAGGCCAAAAGCCAGTATTTGCTGGCCATGATCTTTGGGCCCTCAGTTGGCACTGCATTAAAAACAGACAAGATTCTGTAGTGGAAATCACTGCATGGGCTCAGAAACACTTCTGAAAACCACTGTCTGTGAAAACAGTTTGTCATTGCATCCACAAATGCAAGTTAAAACTCCAGTACTCATGATGATGTAGGGGTGCATTAGTGCGCATGGCATGGATGATGTGCA